AAACCGTTGCAGTATAAGTGTAAATGCGATACACCACAAAAAAAGGCAAATGAAATGCAATGCGGCATAGCCATGAAGCATTTTCGTTTCGGGAGTTAATTTGCACCAAAGCATCATTCGTTGGTAACCAACACTGAATGATGGTTCCGGATTATCTAACATAATTATCAGATACAGACATGCTTGACATAGCCAGCCTATAGGTGTGTAGTTTCCTATTGAGTTTTGGGGGATGCCTCATAACCAGGGATAGTAGTTTTCGATTTTTATTTATGATTTTTTGTCAATTAACTTTTGGTTATCATAATTTCGAGGGGTCAGCCTCCCAAAACCAGTTTTGAGAGACTTCGCCCCTGCTCCCAACTCTGACAAGAAAGTGAGGGAGAGAACCATGTTAAGTACATTTCGGACGCAGGTTCAGCCATTTGTGTTCCTGCCCTCCCCCGTCCCTCATCCCAGCGTATTTTGCAAAACTGCATCCCTGTAGCCTTACATTTACCGATATAAGCACCTGAAAAAAATATGTTTGTGACGTCATCATATAATCAGCTGGAAGCGTTGGTGACCTTTACTATCTTGACAAGATCATAACCGGTGCAGAACTCGCACTTTCTAACATGATCCCAGTTAATTATTGCGAAACCCATGCAGTATTGCTATGAACAGCTGCAAGCGTCATGTTTCAATACTTCTAGCGAATTCATTTAGCTCTACATACAATACAGTGGCAACCAAAAGTGTTTATCTCATTCCTGTCCACCGGTCAGAACGCTAAGCCTGAGGTGCGACGGGCAATGTGAGGCTTACACCAGCGATGCCGGCGTCTTACCTCAAGGCCGTCGTTCCCCTCACCGGCAGAAAGCCGCGGATGAATCCCTGGCATTCATCGCTCCATCGTCCTTTGTCGAGCTCTGAAGCTACCGTTTGGATATCCACAAACAACCATCCTAGATCGGCAGGGCTTTTTAATGCTATTTCCAGCGACGCCCTGCGTAGAAGATCCCTTAAAAGCCGCTCAGCCCCTGAATGCGCGCCCGAGTGGTCGGCTGTATACGTTTCGCCCGGGTGGGAGGTAAATTTGGCTCTTCTGACATCCCCAAAACTGAGAGAGCTAGAGACACCAGTTTCACAAGATAAATTAACCTGCACGTGAATTCACTTATGTCAAAATTCAAGGTTCTTAGGTCATGACCTTAGGGTCAAATAAGGTCAAACATGGGCAAATCCCAGATTGGTGTCCAATTGCCGCCAGAACTCCTCATGCAACCGCTGTGAAGCTGCTTGCCTGTTCTGAACAAAAGCTCAAGGTGTTAGTAACTGTTTTTGACCTTTATAAGGTCAAGGTAACCAAATACGTATAAGATTGCTCCTATTTTGCCATTCAAATAAGCATCACGTATTACGCTGAACGATATGTTCCTGGACACAAATGTTGGCCCGGTTCGTTTTTGGTCAGTGATCTACTCGGACCTTAAAAGGTCGATGTAACATGTCTGTGGCCGTCCCTGTCATTAACAAAGTGGAATCGAGCACCAGGAACTTCCTCATAAAATCAAGCTCCGCGAAAAAGCAAGGTAATGTTGATCTCGTTCTGACCTTCATACCTGACCCAACGTCTATGTGATTGGCTGTAATTTTGAATACAGTTAGTTTGTTCCCTAAGATGCTATCTCAGATATCTATCACTTTGTCCAGTACCCCGTTATTGCTCACCTTGAACGATTCCCTAGAAACGCCCTTCGCCGGCAGTCATGGCTTGACTTTGACCTGCTGAAGGTCAGCGACCCTACCAGGTACATCTAATGTTTTACATCAAAAGATCCGCTATTCAATTTTCTACAGCTATGCGAGGCTTGGCGCGGCTTCGCCGTGCCGGTTGCAAGTCTTTCTGGGAAAAACCTTCAGAAGGGGACCTTTCCCCTCTACCCCCACCCACCCGAGCGCGTGTTAAAACTGACAATTGTCTACGTGTTTCAAGCCGGTCAGCTTTTCACAGCATGGACTTGGGCCAATATTTGACTCCGTCATAGCAGGTAAAATGCCAAGGTTTCCAGAAAACCGCAGTTTGTCAGCTTTACACCATACCAACGAAGCCACGCCTATTGGCGACACAACGCTTAAGAAGACGTTTTCCTCGATCGCGATCAATGGCTGCCGCCCGCCGCTTGCGCCGGCCGTAGATCGCCGTGCAGTGCTCCTTTAAGAAAAAAACGGCCGCATCTCCTGAAACAGAAAAGCCAGGAACGCGTTCTTGGTGTTAAAATGCGTGCAATAGATGCCCCATATGCTAATGAGAATTTAGGTGGCACTTCACACCCCGCTGGAGAGGTGCCTTGTGAAACCTGTGGGGTTGCATCAACCCCTCAGCTATCAGGCCGAGGGTTAAAATGACCTCCGGCCAGCTCTTGGGTCCTTCGGGCCCTCCCACGGTGTGAGGGACCCTCCCATGGTGTCCTTGTTCGTATGCCCGTATGTCCTGTGAGACTTTCTGGCCTCTCGTGACTTAAAGGGGACGCGTACCCCCTGTGTTTTCTTGTTTGCGGCTCTGAACAAGTACAAAGGTGTTGACCATGATGGAAACAAATGTCGCTGGCAACTTAATTTTCCTAATTGCATAGTGTTAGCATCGTTTTTGCCTCTGATTGATGGGTCTTGCCTGATTCTTTTCGTGACCTAGCAACTGCATTTATCTTACACAAACGGGTTTATTGTATCTTAAAACCCTTTTCTCACAAAACGCGATATAAGATAAGTATAATTTGGTCTCACGCGCACATAAATGCATTCCAAACGTTTTACAAGGGCTCGCTCGCGTTAGTCCCAAAATGCAGCAGTCATGAGAACGAAATGTTTCAATACAGCACCTGGACAGCGGCCGACTTCGCGTCACCGAAAGCTCACAGACTCGTGCCAAATTCACAGCAAACAATAAAACATATATTCAGTCGCTCGATGGTGGGTGGAGCGGGCGGCGGAGAGCGAGGGGAGGGGCGGGGGAGGGGGCGTGGCGCGGGCTGCCCAGCGGCTGCCGAGCGCCCGGAGCGTGTCCGTGGCGCGCCTCCCCTGGAGGCCGGTGGCCAGCCCGGCCGACGCACCGCTGAGCTCACACCTGACGTCACAGCAGGCCGTGGCCGCCGGGCACGACACGCCCCGAGCCCGCCGCGGGGCCGGGGCGGGATCCGCACCAGCGCAGAGGCCACGGCCCGCGTGAAACGCTCAACATCGAAGCAGGGCGCCGGCAAAAGGAAGCAGAAGACACTGCTACGCGCACGACACATACGTAAGACAAGCATACGTGCGGAGATGACGCGACTTCTGTGCGTTATAGAGAACGGCTTACGGTGCAGAATACTGGATGACGGTGTTAAACTTATGTTCGACAGTTCTTAAAAAGTGACGCGTGACATGTTTCCATCGACCTCGTGGACAATACACCTCGTAAATGTTGTGTCATCAAACTATTCTTGATGTTTGTAGGGCGGCATTTTGGCAGATCACTTAAATGTACCAGCATTCAAGGGCAACTTGTTTACATTGACAACAGCACACCCCCTACTATGACAATATGAGCTGCTCCACAGCATGAACGTTGAATGGAGTTTAAACATAACAGCGTCACATACACAATCATAACCCCATAGCCCCACATTGCGCAAGACGTTAGTGGCTTCGAGAGTGAAGCGCAACATTGGCCTAACGTGAGGGGCGCAGTATTGATAACGTTTTACACTTTTTCCGCACCCCTCGGCCGCAGTGTACTGTCTATCTTCAAATGCATATCTTTCTGGTTTTTTTCTGCTACGACAAAATGATGAAGAACAAAGCAAGTTAACGGAAGCCAGTGGCAGGCCGACGCCAGACCTCTGACGTCGGTGGAGGCTACACCCATTGCGGGCCAAACCGGGCCAATATGCTGCCACATCAAACACTGGGCAACGTGGCAGGCACGAAACGAAGACGGGCGTAAATGACTTTGCACAACGGACATTCCCATCCACTGATCGCACCTGATAACACTTCGCGCGCAACGGTCAGTTTTGATTAGCACTAAAGCTCTGAATACTCTTGCTGCGCCACCGTTGTGTGGGCAGCGCAGGAGCAGCTGGAGACGGCCTTTGGTAGGTCCGCGCGCCGGCACCACAGTGCGCAGGAGCAGCTGGAGACGGCCTCTGGTAGGTCCGTACATCGCGCGCCGGCACCACAGCCCGCAGGAGCAGCTGGAGACGGCCTCTGGTAGGTCCGTACATCGCGTGCCGGCACCACAGCGCGCAGGAGCAGCAGGAGACGACCCCTGGTGGCCCCACACATCGCGCGCTGGCCCCACAGCGCGCAGGAGCAGCAGGAGACGGCCCCTGGTAGGTCCGTACATCGCGCGCCGGCACCACAGCGCGCAGGAGCAGCTGGAGACGGCCTCTGGCACCGAGGACGGCCTTTGCCGTACTCCACGTCCAGACCAGGTGGGGATTGTTCCAGCGTTATGCGCAGCATCCCGCACCTGAATCATCTCACATGACCGGAGTAGCAGTCTGGAGCCACTCCTGCCAGACTCTGCGAGAGGACCTGATGACACTGCCCCCCGGACAAATGCACTGTTCAAGCACTCGCCCGACAGCTGTTCTGCTCCTCTTGCGCGGGACAGAACACAGCCGTACATACGGAGAAGACCCGGCCGTCACAATGCTACGAATACAAGATAAATATCAGTCGTGCGACACCACAGGCAAGTTTCGCTGTGCTTTCTCAGCATTGGTTGGCGTCGACTGCAGCAGTGTCCCCATTACTGGTCTGGTACGAGCCAAAGTTCAGGCATCGCCGCCAGTTCGAGGCGAGACTCCAGCGTGGTCTCAGCACGGGTTCTGGCTTTTGTCACGTCCGGCGGGCGCAGAGGACGGCGTGGTGGGTGACTGGGGACGGGGCAGGTGTCCGTCCAGCCTTCCCTTCGGTTCTGCAGGTGGCCGCCGGCCAGCGCAGCCCGGTGCCGGCGGCCGGCGGCCGGCTCGGCCCGGCTACACGGCCGTCACGCCCTCCTCCTGGCTGCCGTCGGGCGTGGTGATGACGATATTGTGCCGCCGAGCCTTGCCGTCGCGGCCGAATCGAAGCCAGGCGGGCAGCGGTGGCAGGCGCGGCGGACGCGCGCGCCGCGGTCCTCCGCGCCCCCCGGCCGGCGCCGGGCCGCCGCTCGCCTCCAGCAGGCCCTGGCTGTCCCCGCCGCGTGAGCCGGGCACGCCCAGGTAGTGGTCTGGCGGGCTGCCTGTGCGGCCGCGCACTGACGCGCCGCGCGCGCCGTTCAAGGAGCGCTGGGAGCGGACTGAGCTGCGCTTGGAGCAGCTCGATCGCGGTGAGCCGGTGCGCGAGAAGTCAGAGACGTTGCTGTACGCTGTAGGGATACCAGACGGTAGTCCTGCCGGTGGTTGGTACCAGCAGCGGCAAAACGTGACAAGAAATGTTTTGCGGTACTTGTCACTGAGCGCGCAGTACAGCACGAAGTTGCAGGCGGCATTGATGGCCATGAGGAAGTTGAAAATGTTGCCGAGGATGCGGCGCACCTGGAACTCGTCGGTCCAGCTGTCGACCTCACCGGTCACGGCCAGATAGACGAGCATGCACGCGTGCGGCAGCTGGCACAGCATGTAGATTATCACCACGGATATCAGCATGATAGTGATCTTGTTCTCCTGGCGCTGCGACTGGCTCTCGCCCGAGCACAGCACGGCCCGCTGCTTCCGCGACTCCTTCACCGCCAGGATGAGAAACGAGTTGAAGATAGCCAGCAGTACCAGCGGCAGGAAGATAAACATGGTGGCCGTGAACACGTAGAAGGCGTGACGGTACTCGTCCAGCATGCCCAGCTCACTGAACTCGGCCGTCATCTCGGTGCTATTAGTCTGAAACACGAGGGCAAGCATTCATTTCGGCTACCTTGTGTGTGAATGCATTGCGGTACTTGGACAAGAGCCTTCTGCAGCTGTGATGCAGATGGTGAAAATGATCCCACTGTTTCCAGCGCAGCTGATCGGTGAACAGTCAAACCTTGTCACTACGGTGCACATTAGCAGTCACGATCGCCCCCAATGCAAAGTCAATTTAACTTGATGCATTGTATTAACGAACGTTAATTGTTGCATCGCCAGAAAACTGCACAAATGAATGTTTCGTCCCATCACACAACCTGCGATATTGCAAGGTTTGGATTCATCTAGAAATAGTTTTTCAGTTTAACATGTGGGGGGCTGAATATAGTCCTATGACTACCATGACTGCTTTTCTTCTACCGGGTATTGTTCTCGCTAATAATCACTCAAAGTTTTTGTCTTGAAGCAGGCCAAACGGAGGGAATTACCCCTGGTTTTGGTAACCCTCGAGCCGCTATCGACGCAGTAGACTACCAAGAATGGCGTACCTATGGCGTACCGAGAATTATGGATACGCGAACAATATTGCCGCCGATCTTCTCTTGGTAAGTATGCACAACTGCTAATGCTTGGAGCACTTTCGATTAAGCACGCTTAGTAGTTATGTCAGCCGCAAAACTTGGCAAGGTTCCAGCAAACCAGATTGGCCGGCGTTTGGCATGTCGTCGCGGTCACGTCCTGCAAGTGGTCGGAGCTAGTCTTTAACCAGGCTCAGCGTTGTCGATCCAATACAACAGTTGGGTACCGCGCTAACCTCTAGATAACGGTGTTCAGGGATGAAATTAATTTTTCCCCCTAGCCGATGGGTTTGAACCTATGGTTGAAATAATTATTCTACAAATGAACTGCTGAGAACACAAGCGGCTCACGGTGCTAAGTTAATCCCCTCTTGTTTGCGCAAGCGTCTGCGAGCAGCATAACGGCCACCGAAACAAATCAATAATTCCAATGTAGCCACGTTAGATCTTAAGGGACTGCTAATCGCATTGCGGGCTTGGCAAGCACTTGCTTATGCATGAGGTTGACCGAGTTAAACTTGGGTCCCCTGTCAAAAACATAATGGCGGCGACAGCGCGCGGCTGCACCTATCATTCCGGCAGCGTCGGACGGTGCAACGACAGGCCCACACGGCGCATGCGCGCAGATAATGGCGCTGTTTACCCTCCAGGGCACGATTGGTTGCCGCAGGAAGGAACCACCTATGTCAACAGGCTGGCTGCACAGTTTAGGTCCCCGTTAAAATGGACTCGCTGAACAGCTTACTGCCTGGTTGGAACGTTTATCTGTAGCGTGGTTCCACACACTATGTCTATTACTGATAGTGGCGTTTCCTCAATCTTTTCTTTGAGCGGAATGCGAAATAAGTCACATTTTGATTGATTGCTCCCCAATCAAGCAATGACAACGTGTAGAGATCTGGTCACATTTCACTGGAGCGCCTGCCAAATCCTCCGTTTGAACGACACACGACCTAGATCACATCCGAAATGATGGCTTCGAGGCATGATTTTTGAGCTGCGTGCTTACAGACCTGCTCGCCTCTTCGCCGGGCGGCTCCATAATCTCACATCCAAACAGCGGACGGACCAGCTCACCTTGTGATTGAGCCGCTCTGCGATCTCCCACTCGAACGGCGTCGACAGGGTGACGAGGAAGCAGAAGAGGTAGACGATGCAGATCATCTTGCGCGCCCGTGACTCCGTGCAGTAGACCTGGCCCCGGATCGGATGGCACACCGCCACGTACCGCTCCACGGTGAACGTCACTGTCAGCCACGTGGACGTGTTGCCTGCAACAAAGCGGCCCTCGTCAGTGTCACAGCTCGCTGACGCCTCTAGGTTTGATTTCCGACCGAATCATGCGTGAGGTCACACGCCGGCTTCAAACTGACCATCGCAGTGTAAAGTCATTTGCGGTGAGCTAATGCTTCAAAGTCGCCTTTCTTGTCTGGATCATTGGTCGCTTAACAATGCTAAGCTCGCCCTTATCCGCTTGATTTATAGCATACCACCTTCCTACGGTCATGCAATGTATTTTTTCTCGAACTCATCAGTTCACCTTATTTGAAAAATTGGACACGAGCGTTGTGCTACGCCAAACCGTGTAATGCACATCCACGACATGTTGTGCTGCGGGTTTTCCACATCACATCCCAGTTGCCACATGGCCTTTTCGAGCGTTCACCCCGCCCGCTGCACCATACGACCACTAACCGCCATCAAAGGCGGGTGTGCAGCAGCCTTATCGGCTCAGCCTTCACGACGCCTGCCAAGTTTTCGTTTTCAGATAATATCAGATCAATGCACCGAACCTTTCTCGGGAAATAATTTATCACCTGAGCTGTATGCTGCTGGGTGGCCGGGGCGACAGAACGGGACCGTGCCATATCCGACAGGAGCTGTGTGCCGCTGGGTGGCCGGAATGACAGGACGGGACCGTGCCATATACCACAGCACGGCGCAGGGGGCTCGACGGCCTCCACCTGGCATTGCACAGCGGTAGGGACAGGACCGGCCATGGCACGGGGTTGGGGACAGGAACGGACTTGGCACGGTGGTGAGGACAGGACCGCACATGGCACGGTGGTGAGGACAGGACCGGACATGACACGGCAGTTGGAACAGGACCGGAAATGGCACGCGGGACATGATACTGATTATGGCACGGTAGTCGAAACATGACTGGATATGGCACAGGATATGGCCATGACGGTGGTGGAGACAGGACCAGACATGGCACGGTAGAAGTGAGCGGAGTCTCCAGTAACGGGTCACCGGCCAGGTGTGACCTCAGGGCAGTGGGGGAGTGACGTTTCACAGCTGCCGCAGAGTTACGTCACACACCAGCGGAACGGCGGTCTTCGGCGATTGCCAAGGAGACGTGTTATGGCAGCTGCAAGTAGGCATCGTGATCGATATAAGCGCTCACTGCTCAAAGTCAGTCGTAAAAGTCATCCTTGTGTCTGCTACTGGCAGAGCGGTTCAGGGTCGGGCTCAAGCCAGGCTCAGTCCATGGTGCCCAGCGTGTCCCACCCTTCTGGCTGCTGCCCCGGTCACTTTCTTCACACGACTCTCGAGCCCGTGCGATTGCCGGGGCAGTCGCTAAGGTCAGCCGGAGGTGTCGTGTAGCATAAATTGTTCTCAATTCACGCTTCTAAAACCAGGGGTGGTTCATTTTCATCCGTCCAGTTAAAAGGACCGGACTAGGGAAGACCTGGGCCTGACAAGCTTATCGCCCCAAATGTGTGTGCTTCAACGTTTCTTCTCTTTATGACGTTGGATTGAGATTTTTGATTTATATCTCTGCATCACGCATCAAAGAGCTATTTTAAACTACTCACCAGCTTGGTGAGTGGCACGAAACGAAAATGGTAAAAAACGATGCAATAGATAAAAAAAGTTCTGCAGCCCAAGGTCGTTGATTAGCGTAAATGATTAGACAGGTGTGGTGTGATTGCGCGGGTGTGCGCCCTCGCTCTCGCTGTCTTCCGAGCTCTACATCTGACTGGATGCCGGGGGGCGTCACGTGACCGCGGGTCTCCCGATTTTCCGGGGGTCAGGGGTCGGCCGCTGAGGCAGCGGCAGGGACCCGACGCTCGCAGGCGCCAGTCGGCCTTTGGACGAGTCCAGGCGAGTGCGCGCTACGTTCTCTTACAATGAGTGGGGGGGAGGGGGAGGGAGGGGGGGGGGGGGTATTCGAGGGCCCCACAAACCAAACCGGCCCAAGCTGTGAGTTTTCCAATGGATGGATGCGGTCCACGTCATATTTAACGGCAATCTTTAGTTGTGTGCAGCCTGACGCAGGCATCTATTACAGACTCAGTGGCAATATAACAGACTAGCAGGCGGTGGACGGATAAGGCGAAGCTCGTCTTAAGGCTTCACTTAAATCATTAGTGGCGAATGTCGTGTTTGCCGCAAAGACGCGCGCGCTCCACATCATCGCCAGCCGTTCGCCGCCCGCGCCGGCCGCAGGTCGCCGTGCAGTGTCCCAACAAAAAAACACCGCGCTCCAAAACCAGAAATGCTTTAAATATGATGTTGATGCCAAACATGCGTAATTAATGCTCAATAGACTTCTGAAGATGTGGAGCCCTATTGTATGAAATGCCGGTGAGGAAGTCTCAGGAAGCTTAAAGAGAGGTCGCATCGAATCCCCCCTTCCCTCTCCTATCAGGGCACGGTTAATGCACGTAAAACATTGCCATCAGAGGCAGCAGGGTCCTCTACGCCCCTTCTTGCATGTACCACTGGTCATTGATGTTTCAGTGGCAAGTGAGTGTAAAGTTCTTTCTACATAACCTACGGACTTCGCAAACTGCCAAGAGATATTGCAAACTTCCTAGAGTGTTTGCAAACTCTTGACTATCCAAAGGCTTCCTTACCTTACTTACTGATATACTGGCGGGTTTGTAGATTCCCAGTTGATTTGTTAACTCGCGGATTTTTCATGTCCTCTGTAGTATATGTGTAGACGTGCACGATTTCTGCACCCCTGTGAAATGTGCCATGATCCCTTTGAGGAATGCATTTTCTCAAGGATTTGCCTCGCTACCACCTCGACGGCGCTTCTAGTTCAGCAAGAAGCCAGAACTAATTTTTGAATTCGAAATGTCTCATGCCAGGTATTAGTAGCGAATACGTCGCCAGCCAATGCCATGAAGAAAGTCTGTTAGGATTTCCGATGACATAATTTGATTGCACAAAAACCATGTCATTTACCGCGGGATGGCAAGCAAACTTAACAGCTGGCTATGTGACGAAGAACGTTATTACACAATTTGCATGAACCCTAAGGAAACGAATTTCCCATTAATTGGATATGTATGGTGGGTTCCTATCCAGCCAACGCATTAATCAATTTTGTAATCCTGGTCTGCTACGACGGACGCGAAATGGTCGCGATAACCTCGGGAAGATTAATTGCATTATTTTGAGATGAACCGCTGTAAACTAGCCAATACTTCCCCGAACTGTGCCGTGACTTTCGGCAAACCGTCGATTCGTTTCCACATGGCCATTGGCAGCCAGTTACGCCGCGGGCGGCAGGCCATTGCCGCTGTCCCGGCGGCGTTCCCGACGCATCAGCTGGCGAATATTGGCCCATTCACCGAGTGTGTGCAGTCGAACGGTCGGAAACGTGGCCATACCGTGACAGATCGCCCTCAGTCGGGCGGAGGTAGCCGCTGTGCTGACCGGCCTGGTATGCCAGTCTATAACCGAGAATTCGGCCACAGTGGCCGGCGTGTTCAAAATTGCGAGCTTCAGTTCACCCCATTGACCATTGTGTGCCACAATGGCGTCATCCATTAAACGCATTGAGCAGACTTACCGGTGCAAGGCAATGATGTTTGTCTTTCGATGGTCAAATGGCTGTCTTACCATTTATCTACGGCTGTTTGGATGACTTAGGACATATCTTAACTTGGAGAGAATTCGTCCAGGCAAGGCTGCCTAAGCAATGTTTTTCGGAGCAAGTGCTCAATTCTTGACGGAGTTGTCAAAAATGGCAAGACAGCCACCTAGCACCCCACGCATAGGCAAAATGGGTACAAAATGGGCACAATGGGTACACAAATGTTACTCATAACATCATCCTTTACCAGTCCACCACGGTGGTCCCAGTAATGCATATCACATAATGCATCAGAGTCGTCCCATATATGATGGGCTACATGGGATGCACCTGATCCGAGGGTTGCATTTTCAGCGGTTTGAGCAGTGCTCCACATTTGCACGGGGTTTAGGACTGAAATGAACATCGTGAAGATCATTCGGTGCAGCTCATAACCATGCACTTTTTAAGGCATGAAACCTCCAGTTTCTGAGCTAGACGCCCGCGAAGATGTGCCGACTAAATCGTACCGAGTATTTCAAGGTCATTCGGCCATGAATGATGTGGGCACACATTTCTATACTTCGCATTTTTCTTCACCGCCCGTCCACGCTCGGTGGGGCTTCACGATTGGACGTGGGACAATAAACAAGCCGGCCGTAGCTAGAACCCCCGCTGAACAAAGCGAGACCATTAGGACGAAAAGGGCCTGAGAGGTCAGTTCAGATCTGTCACAACCCGCGCCGGGCCGCCCCGCAACAGCAGGAGGGCGCCTGTTGTGAGCCGATCAGCGGGATAAGGGTGGCGCGCTGAGGCTGACCCGGCGCTGTGATCGGCTATCCTCGCATAACTTCACAGGGCGGCGGCGTACCGCTACGTCTCGGACCGCCGCTCCAAAAGAGGACGTCTCCCACCGGCTGGGCGGACGGGATCAATGGACGCGCAGCATCCGATTGACCGTGCAAGAGGAAAACAGCATAGCTGTCTCACTCCCCCCCCCCCCCCACACACACACGCCACCCCTTAGATCCCCACTGTGGCGGCGCCAGGCGGGAGCCTGGCCGGAGGGGGACGCGCAGAACCCGCCCGCGGCAAGGCGGGAAGAGAGCGGGAGGACTTTGCGACGCCGTCGCAATGTGATGGCGTGCTCTGACCCAGGGACACGTCGGAGCCGAGCCCTGGACGTAGGACAGGCCGGCCCGTGAATATATTGTAGGGATGAGACATTTCGGCCACACGATTGGACCGTGCGGAAGAACGAGGGCGGGCCGGCCCAGTGACGAGAAATCACGAACAAATAAAGCATCGTGAGAGAGTCTCAAAGGAAGCCTCGGAGGAGCGTCCCCAGTGAATGCCTAAGGCATGCCTGGACGAGGAGTCTCTGAGGCGAAGGGACGGGGTGAGCACACCACAGCGCAGAAGGACGGTGGCTGCCGGAGGACTTCGACGCCGGGC